CCTCCTCCTTCTCGTCGTCCTCCTCCTCCTCGTCGTCCTTCTCCTCCTCGTCGTCCTTCTCCTCCTCCTCATCCTCGTCCTCCCCCTCCCTCTCCCCCTCCCCCTTCCCCTTCCCCTTCTCCTTCTTCTCCTCCTCCTAGCCCTCCTCCTCCTCCTCCTCCTGGTCCTCCTCCTCCCCCTCCCCTCCCCCTTCCCCTTCCCCTTCTCCTTCTTCTTCTTTGAAGACAGGGTCCCACTGTGTAGTACAGGCTGGGTTTGCACTCACTTATGTAGCCCATGCTGGCCTCAAACTCACAGTGAGCCTCCTGCCTCAGTTTCCCAAGTGCTGAGATGATAGGCGTGTGCCACCACACCTGGCTAGCTGCAGGTTTTCTTTTTTTTTTCTTTTTTCTTTTTTCTTTTTTTTTTTATACTGGGAATTAAACTTTGCGCTTAACAGGCAGGCACTTGTGCCCCTGAGCTATCTCCCCGACCCTTGCAGGTTTTCTTAAACATACAATTTTTAAATGATGGTTTTCTTGGTCTCCTTCCTCTTACCTTATATTTACTATCCTACCTCAAGTTATTTGGGAGGAAGTTCAGTGGAAATGAGGCAGAAGAAAAGAAAGACAGGTAGAAAGGAGACCAAGAAAACCTTCATTTAAAAGCTGTACTTTTAAGAAGACTGCAGCTTCGGGGACACAGTCAAAGCTGCCCCAGGCTGTCCACACCTGCACTCTTTAGGTTAATTTACTCCGCTTTCCACCCAGAGCCATCACACCCAAAATTCCTTAAGGAAACTGTAGGTTCCTAAATTAGCTTAGTTGAGAAAGAGGAGGGCAGAAACCTGATCCTGAAATAAAGGAGCAGATGGAGAGAATCCAAAGAATGCTTAGGTCATCCATCTTTAAAAAAAAAAAAAACTGGACTCATGGCTTTCACCTCCAAAATGGGCCGTTATCTTTGTGGGTGGATGATCCTTTCTTCTTTTTCCCAGAACCAAGACACAACTTCCTGTCGACTCAGAAATTCTATAGGTTTCCATCCCATCTGGAAAAACAAGCGTTCCCAGTCCTGCAAACTAACGCACCGCTCTCTAAGCTCCCCATGCTCCATTTCAAGTGTGTACTTTAAGAAGTGTAAAAAGGGCTGCGGATGTAGCTTAGCGGCACAGCACCTCCCTGGCAAGCGTGAGGTCCTGAGTTTGATGCCCGGTTCAAAAAAAAAAAGAGAGGCAGATAGGAGCCACTGAATTTTTAAAAATGTAGTAAGTCTTTTACACCTCTCACTGATGCATGTTGAAAATTCTTTTTCTGTCAACCTACATCCTGCCTTATGGGTCAGGTGACACAAAGCTCCCCATCCCTGCCTTGGGGACTTCTTCAGACCCTGTCCAATGATAGAAGGTCCAGACAGCATGATCAGGGACACCAGTCCTGGCCATCCTATGACACAGGGACTGATATAGCAATGGGTTTTATTTAAGAGCTTCAGCTTCAAACCCTTGCTAGCACTGAGGCATCATTGTGAACTGTACTGCTACTCACTACCTCGCGGCATTTAATACCTAATGCTCTCATATGTTAGGTATAGAGATATAAATAAAAACTGAAACAAATCGGTGGAGAATCCAAAAGCCTAATGTCTCGGTCAGATCTTACCTACAACCAACGTGGGGCAGGCAGGAGGCAATCTCATAAAACTCAGAAGAGAACTGAAAGGCATTTAAGAGTTAAATATGCACAGTGAAACTGAAGAGAAAAGAGAATATTTCCCAAGCTTCTTGAAAGCTTGCACACAAAGACATGTATTGAGAAGGGCTGTTCGCAAACACTTTTTTTTTTTTTTTTTTTGGTACCAGAATCGAACTCACAGCCTCATGTTTGCCAGGCAGGTGCTGTACCGCTGAGCTGCCCCAGGCCCAGAAAGACATATATTAAGACATATTTTTAGGGCCACAAATGCTGTGTGGGAGGGATGCTCTTTAAAGTAAGGGTGGAAAAGTCAACAGGAGCCAAATGAGATGGTGCCTTGTAGGTCAGGGGCTGTGAGGGTTTTTGCTTCTGTTGTCAAAGTGTGAATGACTCAAGTGTTTCAAAGTGAGCAGAAATTGAGTGCTGAGGGCACACTGGATTGGCCTATTCAATGCAGCTTTTGGATTATAGTCCTTGGAATAGTACAAAGGATGAATTAGAGTGGGGTAACTGCGAAGGAGCAGATACTACATAATTAGGAGACTTGACTAGGTCAAAGAGTGAGAGTTAAACTGGAAAGAAAACTAGAGACTGCAAGATACTTCTGAGTCCTCGGTGTGAAACGATGGCTCAGGCAGTTTAAAGTGAAATGATTGGGTTAAAGATAGATTGCTTCTCCGACTTCCCCACGCTGGGAGCAGAACCCCCCAACCCCATTCTGCTCCTCAGCCCGGATGAATGGACAGAAGAGTTGTGTCTCCGTCAGGAAGCAAGCAAACTAGCGCATTCTTGGAAAGGAACCTGCAGCACTGGCCGGAGGTCAAGGTCCTCCCTCCACTGGGGTAAACGTGTCCTTGTTCCTCGAATTCCTCCATCCCCACCGCCCCATAGAAGCCCTTGTGCACTGAGCAAGAAGAGGCAGAGGTCTGAGGCAGAGGCCTCCATGTTTCCTTCCGAGCTAGCTTTGAAGAAACCTTTTCCTTTCCCCAAACACTGTCCCCCCAGGGGTGTGACAGGCAATGTGGACCTGAAGGCAGGAGACAGGAGGAAGGTTCTGTGCCAGCAGAGCCTTCCATCTTCCCTTCTGTCCTCCCTCTTCTCCAGTCTAGGGGACAACTCAGCTCTCTGAAAAAAGCCTGGCACACAGGTCTGACCTCTTTTCCTGTAAAGGCTCCAACTCATTCTGGAATCTTCTATGGGCCTATTCAGGCCCTGAGCCATCAAGAAAGGTAGAAGTGGAGGGGATGCCATTCCCATGGGACTCCAAACGCTTGCCCCAGCCCCTGTTATCCTAGAGGCCATCCCAGGCCAGGGACAGGATGGGGTTTGAGAAGGGTGGGGAGCTGTGGGGTGCGGGCCAGCAAAGGCCACTGGGGTCTCCTATCAGTATGAGAGATGCCTGGGGCAGCAGAGATGCCTGGGGCAGGCTGCCACTCCTCCCTCAGAATTTATCGCTCACAACACGCTCTTTGTTTTGGAATCTCAAGGTCTTTGGCTGACTTGTGCCCCGGCAGGCAGATGGCTTCTGGAATGCAGACTTGAAGTCCAGGTCCCTGAATCCCAGGCCTGGGAGGCCTGCGGGGGCAGCAAGTCCCCTCTCCTTGAGCCACCTCCCCCAGCCTTCCTGGGAACCCGGAAGGACGCAGAAGCAGACAGTGGGGGTGGGGCAGCCAGGGCATCCCGGCCAGCACCCCAGCTTTCCTTTTACTTGCTGTGTGACTCACGAGAGCATCCTCGCCTCCCTGTGCTGGAGACCGCCTCTGAGAGGTCAGAGCCACGATTCTCCCTCCTGATGCTCTTGGGGGGCTGTGTGGTGGATGGGGCACTTGCCTTCTGCCGGGTGGGACAGGAAACCTTGCGCCCTACCCTCCAACTCTCTCTACACCACGTTGAGGGGTGGGAAGTCCCTCCAGCCTGCGCTGCTGGTGCGGTGGGGTCCGCCCCCGCTCTCTCGGGGCTCCGCCTCCACCCCGTCCCGGCCGGCCTCCCGCCTCAGTGAGTTTCTCTTTCACTTAGCGATCCCTGAGGTCCTGCGCCTAGGGCCCTGCTTCCATCGCAGGTCCCGGCTGCCCACGCCAGGGACCGAGGGAAGGAGAAGCGGGTCTGCGCAGCAGGCGGCTGAGCCCGGGCCCGCCCACTCGGAGCCGAGGCCGGAGCAGCGCGTCGGGAGCCTCCGGGGCGGGGACCCTGGCTGTGAGCGGGAAATGGAGCGCTCGTGCTGGAGTGGAAGAGACCAGCTGGAACAACTCTGCTCAGAGGGCTGCCGATGGACCTCCCAGTACAGGTACCGGCGGCCGCGCAGCGCACACACCCCTGTGTGCGCGCCCTTCCTGCCGGCCCGGCCCGCGGTGCGTCGGCCTCGCCCGCTCTCCACGCCCGGCCCTGGGCGCCTTTCCTGGCGGGCTCCGCTCCGTGCGTGCGGGGCTCTGCGCGCGGGGGACAAGGACGCCTCCTGGACGCCTCGTCGCTGCCTCTGAACCGGCGGCCCCCGCCTTCCCCAGCACTGGGCTCCTCCCTCCCCGCCGCATCTGAGCGTCCAGGGCTGGGCCGTCCCTCCCTGGGCGCGTTCCTGGGCTCTGTGATCCATCGGGGTGTAAGGGAGAGCCTGCCACCCG